ATGTCCCTGTCCATTACTGTCTTGATCTTCTCACTGGGGAGATGACCTGACGAGCCATGGTGTTTCTTCTGGGGAGATGATTCCACCTCGGTGACCCGTTGACCAAGGGTGCACTAAGCCTGAGCTCTCAGAGGTACCATTCTTTATGACTCAGGGTGACAGCCATTTTTTTCCCATACAGTGTGTCCCCCAAATGGCATCTGTGGGTTGGGAGGAACTTCCCACCACTGCTGTGGAGCTGTTTCTGCACCTCACCCGCCCTCTTCCTAACACCATCATATTCTCACATCATAAACCCAGGTTAACAATTTATTGTCACCTTTCTGTCAAGGTAAGCTCTCCCTTGGAGACCACTGACATACTTTCCTCCTTGAACTCTATCACCCCAGAGAAGTTCTAGGTCTGGGAACAGACACTGTTTTATGCATAGGGGATAGAAACAAAACAGCAAATTCTCTCAAAATGCTTCCACTCAGGATCAAGTAATAAATGCAGACATAAGTAAGATAATATTAGATAACAATGAGCGTTACAGAGACAAAGAGCCAGGTGAGGTGATGGAGAGTGGCCACTGGGGCTATTTTCAGCTGGAGAGTCAGGGAAAGTGTTCCTAAAGGGGTGACATTTGAGCTGAGGTTTCAGTGAAGATGTGAGCACAGCCTAGAGGCACAGACAAGACGAGTGATGATGGCCAATGTGACTGGAGCAGAGTGACAGGGGGAAAGTGGTAGAAGATGGACTTGGGGAGAGAGCAGGGCCACCTCATAGATGGATTGTGCCTGACACCCCTCAGGACAATGAGCTGTAAGGCCTCTTCCAGCTTTGCCATTCTCAAGTCCTAAATTAAGATTTAAAAAGCTCTCTATGCCAAATGTGATTCTTTAATTTGACAATCTAGACTATGTGACAACCAATTTTGAATTCTCTTATTTTGTTCCAAATTCTCAATCATTATCATCAGGAAAAAATGTTTTTGACTTTCTTGTGGCCATAACTTTTCATACCATATGTTTCACCGTGATACAATCTTAAATAGCCCAAGTCTGTTAAAAGAATATTCTTGTGTGAAGATTAACACAATTTACTGGTAAATATCTAAATTGACATTTAGCATATAAATGGAGCCAAAAGGTCAGGAAATGAAAACTCTTTCTTCACTGTCTTTGACAGTGAGTATATGAAAGATAAAGGCTAATTTTCCCTATTGATGCTTCTGTTGTTTCAAATGACTCCTTCAGCCGTGATCCCCCAGGCAACAAATGAAACATTTTGTTCTCTCAATGGGCAATTATACATTTTCAAAGATAATAAATTTTGTCCATAGTGCAGCTGATTACATTCATTTATGAAAATGACTAAAATGGTAAGTCAAAATTTCTTCTGTGTGGTTGGGTTGAGATAGTCATCAGAGCCATAATAGAAAGCACAGCAGACCTGGAAACAGGAAGGCTGGAGTTGAGTCCAGCTCTTCCACTACAAGTGATGGAACCTTGAGTAAATGATGTCACCTCTCTAAGCTTCTATGTTGTTACTTGTATAAGAGGGAGAGGCATATTGCACAATATACCTTGTGTCAGAGAGTTGGTGGGGCTGGAGCATTATGGGGAGAAGCACCTCCAGTTCTTTACCTGGGGGGTCGGATATATATGTTTGTTTTATTATTCATCTTGAAATTGTACACATCGGTGTATTTGTGATATGTACATTTCACAATAAATTTCTAAAGCTGTCAGTAGATACCTGTTGACATACTTGACAAGAAGTAAATACAGCATGAGTTTTAGTCTGGATCTCCTAGCAAATGGAATAAACCTAGGTAGAAGTCAAAACAGTTTTTCCCCTCAAATCAAAACATGTTTTTCTAGACACATCTGGCTGGCTCAGTCAGTAGAGCATGCAACTCTTGATCTTGGGGTTGTAGGTTCAAGCCCCACATTGGGTGTAAAGATTACTTAAAAATAAAAATCTTTAAAAATAATTCTTTTTAACAAGAGTTTAATTGAAAGCATAATCAGTGAAAATTTCCAATGAAGCAAAAGGGTGTATCATGCTTAGTACAGCTTCCTCCTGCCCTAGCCCTCCATTCAGCCTCACTTGAGGCTTTTTAGGTTTCTTTCCATAAATATTCGAGAAAGCCAAAAACAGAGAGTCTTGAAAGCAGCAAGAGAGAAGCGTATGGAAACATTTGCATGCACAACAATTTTTTACATAAATTAAAGTATGTTACACATGCTGCTCTATACTTTGCATTTTTCATTTATCTTGGAGATGTATCATTCTTACAGATTTAAATTCATTCTTTTTCACAGTATTTCATTTTGTGGGTATGCTACACTTTATTTAACCAGACCCCTCTGATAAATATTTGGGTTGCTTTTGTTCTTGCTCACATTTCTGCAGCAACCATCTTTGTACTTCTATCTCCTTGTGTGTATATATCTGAAGAATGAATCCCAAAGTGCAGAAGGTAGACCCATTTAAATTTTAGTAGTTACTGTCAAAATGCCCTCCAAAGAGATAGCATGCCTTTACACTTGATCAACAGAGTAAGAGAGTGCTGCTTTCATGCATATCAACAATAGCCAAACTATAGAAAGAGCCCAAATGTCCATCGACCGATGAATGGGTAAAGAAGGTGTGGTGTATGTGTATATATACTCAGCCATCAAAAAAGAATGAAATCTTTCCACTTACAATGATGTGGACAGAACTAGAATGTATTATGCTAAGCAAAATAAGTCAGTCAGAGGAAGAAAAATACCATATGATTTCACTCATATGTGGAATTTAAGAAACAAAACAGATGACATATGGGAAGGAGGGCAAAAAGAGAAGAGATGGAAACAAACCGAGACTCAGTGATAGAGAACAAACTGAGGGTTGATGGAGGGAGGTGGGTGAGTGATGGGCTAGATGGGTGATGTGTAGTAAGGAGGTCACTTGTTGTGATGAGCATTAGGTGTTGTATGTAAGTGATGAATCGCTGAATTCTATTCCTGAAGCCAATATTGCAGTGTATGTTAACCAACTAGAATTTAAATAAAATTTGGGGGAAAAAAGAGAGTTCTGCTTTCCTGACACTCCCATGATAATGTGCTCTGCTAGTCTTTTTATTAACAAATTTAAGAGGTGGAAAATAGCATTTCATCGTTTGAATTTATTTAACTATAAATGAAAATGAGCACTCTTGGTTTTTTTCTCTGAACTTCCTGTGTGGGTCCATTGCCCATTTTCCTTTTGGTTTCTTGTTCTGTATTGCTTTGTAACAGCTCTTTATATACTAGCCCTTCGCAATTATTGTTCAAGGTCTATGTTTCTCATTTGTTATCACTTGTAGTATTTTACCTCTTGCAGAAATTTTAAATTACTAGACAGTCAAATTTATACATCCTTCCTATATATATAGTATGGGGGTCATTTCTTTCTTGGAAAAATCTTTCCTACTCCAATGCCATTATAATTTTTTTCCCCAAGTTTTCTTCCAGTACTTTTATGAATTTGTTTTTCACTTCTAAATGTTTTATCAATATCATTTAATGAACTTATTTAGTGTAATGAGTGAAGTAAGGATTAAACTTTTTGTTTATCCCCCATATATCTATCCCAGATGTCTATCCAGCTGTCTCAAATTCACTTCTTAAGTAATAAGTTTTCTCTCCACAGTTTTGAAATGTCACATTAATTTGGGTCTAAAAATTACTGAGTCTGTAAATTGAAAACAATTGGATGGTAAATTAATAAACTATGTCATTCTTGGCATATTTAAGGAACTATTAAAACAGTAGCATAAATAGAGTGTGATTACCATGTGTCAGGCCCTGTTCTAAATGTGTTGCATGTATTTGCTCATTTAATCCATATAACCATGCTATAAGGTAGGTGCTATTAGCTCCATTTACAGATAAGAACACTGAAGCACGGAGAGGTTAAATAACTTCCTCAAGATCACAATGCTTGTGAATGGCAAAGCCATGATTCAAATATAGGCAGGTTGACTTCAGAATCCTTGCTCCTATCTATAGTCTCTGCTGCCTCCACCAAATGGAAAACATGTTTGTGTGTGCTTCCTACATGCTAGGCATTGCTCCAAGAACTTCACATATAATGATTTCACTTACTCTTCACAACAGTCCTAAGAAATAATCACTATTTCTATCTCCATGTTATAGATGAGCAAACTGAGGCAAAGTATAGCTGGGAGACAGACAGGGAAAGGGGAGTGGTATGAGATGAATTCAGAGAAGGGGGAGCTTTGTTCTATCTTCAGAGCAGCAAAGAATCACAACAGTATGTGAATCAGGGCTGACCCAGTCAGATTTGTTTTTTTGTGACACTCACTGGGCACAGCATGGAGAGTGGATTGGGGAAGGGACCGCAAAGCTGGTGTGGGGAAATCAGATACCAGGCTAATACCACGCTGCAGTGACCACCTATCACAGATGGGCCATCCAGTGACGAGTGGACAGTATCCATGTGACATGAAAATTACTATCATCTGGGCAGCATCCATGTGCCAGGGGCAGAACTCAAGACAAGTGCTCAGAGTAGTTACATTTCCAGAGAAAACCCTAGTGTCCAGAGGCTAAGTACCATGTCTGTGCTCACCCAGCTAGTAAGTGCACACTCCCAACCACAAAGCCTGCCCTCTTTACTCAACCCACACACAGATTGGGCCCTTCAAATGCTGGAGGGCTGGCTCAATACAACCTTGAAAATTGGATTGAGCAATTCCTTCGCCATCCTTTGTCTTCTCAGAGGATAGAAGTCAAGGAGATCAGTTGACAATATTGACAGATGAGCTTCTGTCATCACATATCTTGAGATCATTTAAGAGTTTCCTTTTCAGTTCTACGTTAACTTTTCCTCAGACTTTTGAATATCCTCCTGAGGTTACTTTGTGAATCTTTCTCATTGCTTGCTTCTTGCCTGGATAAAGGGCAAGTTCGGGGTCCACTGTCTTCTGTGCTGCTATTAATCATCCTCTCTCTTTGCAGATCCGAGTGATGGTGGATCTATGTAACAGCACCAAGGGCATCTGCCTGACAGGTAGGCCAGCCTGGAACTGAGCAGGAGTGGCTCACGCCACAAACACGTGTGGTAGCCAAAGGGCCAGAGCAGAATGAACACCTGGGAACACTGCGGGTGATAAAAACACATGTTGGTTTACTTTTACCAGATGTTTTTAATGAACTGAAAATCAATTGTAATATAATTATGAAAAAGAACATATTTTGGTACTGCCATAGAAATATAGCCATGGAAAATAACTGGGTCTTGGGTAATTAGAAACGTGTGGTACCTTGAACTGGGGCCATAGATGTTTTCCTTATTCACATTAATTTTTAAAAGAGAAAAGAACGGAAGGAAAGAGACCTTAGCAGAAGTAATTCTTTCCTTACATCATATGTATGGCATAAATGGAAAGTTCTAGAAGCAAACTACTGATAAATCAGAACACTTTTGATGAAGAGTGCTCTGTGTGTGGGGCCTACTGTGTGCTAGGTGAGACGGGAAGTTATGTCATACACAGGTCCCCTCCACTTGATGAATCAAGGACAAAGAAACAGGAGGGAGGGAAATCAACCCCGAGGCACATCAAGCCAAGGGACACAGAGTGGCTGATGGGTTGGGCAGGGGAGGAGGAGAGTGCTATGGGTATGTTCGTGTACACCTGAGTCTAACAGAGTCCTGCCTCTTGCCTGAGGGGAGGGGTGCCTGCCTTCTGTGTTTAGAAGCTTGGGAAAAGGAAGAACACAGACCCCAGAACATTCACCCAATGTGTTGCACCCCAGGCAGAGGGAGGCTCTGTCCAGGCCCAAGAATGGGCCTACAGAGCCTGATTTCAGACACAGCATTGACTACCTCTCTCCTCCATTCTGAGGAAATGGGGAAATTATTTTTGCATTAAAAATATAATATGAAGTAAATGCAGAGCTCTCGTGAGCCATATACATTTTTTCTTTTTTCTTTTTTTTTTTTTTT